CACCCTCCCACCCACACACCCCCCCCCCCCCCTCCACCCTCCCACCCCACCCCCCTCCCCCCCCCCCCCCCTCACCCCCCGACCCCCACCCCCCCCCCCCCTCCACCCCCCGACCCACACACCCCCCCCTCTCCACCCTCCCACCCACACACCCCCCCCCCTCCACCCTCCACCCACACACCCCCCCCTCCACCCTCCACCCTCCACCCACACACCCCCCTCCACCCTCCCACCCACCACACCCCCCTCCACCCTCCCACCCACACACCCCCCCCCTCCACCCTCCCACCCACACACCCACCCCCTCCACCCCCGACCCCCCCCCCCTCACCCCCCGACCCACACACAATGAGGTAAGTACAAATACTCACTCGGTTACGAGATGGTAAACTTTATAAACTGTGATCGCATCGCTCTCCCTCTCGTTCTCTCTCACTCGCGCGCTCACTCTCTCACTCGTTCTCACTCTCTCACTCGTTCTCACTCTCTCACTCGTTCTCACTCTCTCTCTCACTCTCTCTCGCTCTCTCACTCTCTCTCGCTCTCACTCGCTCTCACTCTCTCACTCGTTCTCACTCTCCCTCGCTCTCTCACTCTCTCTCGCTCTCTCACTCTCTCTCACTCGCTCTCACTCTCTCACTCGTTCTCACTCTCCCTCGCTCTCTCACTCTCTCTCGCTCTCTCACTCTCTCTCTCACTCTCTCTCGCTCTCTCGCTCTCTCACTCTCACTCGCTCTCACTCGCTCTCACTCTCTCACTCGTTCTCACTCTCCCTCGCTCTCTCACTCTCTCTCGCTCTCTCACTCTCTCTCACTCGCTCTCACTCGCTCTCACTCTCTCACTCGTTCTCACTCTCCCTCGCTCTCTCACTCTCTCTCTCACTCGCTCTCACTCTCTCACTTGTTCTCACTCTCCCTCGCTCTCTCACTCTCTCTCGCTCTCTCGCTCTCTCACTCTCTCTCGCTCTCACTCGCTCTCACTCGCTCTCACTCTCTCACTCGTTCTCACTCTCCCTCGCTCTCTCACTCTCTCTCACTCTCTCTCACTCGCTCTGTCTCTCTCACACTCTCCCTCGCTCTCTCACTCTCTCTGTCTCTCTCACACTCTCCCTCGCTCTCTCACTCTCTCTGTCTCTCTCACTCTCTCTCTCACTCGCTCTCACTCGCTCTCACTCTCTCACTCGTTCTCACTCTCCTCGCTCTCTCACTCTCTCTCGCTCTCTCACTCTCTCTCACTCGCTCTCACTCTCTCACTCGTTCTCACTCTCCCTCGCTCTCTCACTCTCTCACTCGCTCCCACTCTCTCACTCGTTCTTACTCTCCCTCGCTCTCTCACTCTCTCTCTCACTCGCTCTCACTCTCTCTCTCGCTTTCTCTCACTCTTTCGCTGACTTTCTCTCGCTCTCTCACACACTCTCACACTCGTTTCTCTCTCTCTCGGACTCACTCGCTCTCTCAATCTCTCTCTCTCACACTCTTTCTCTCAAATCTCTCTCCATCTCTCCCTCATTCTATCTCTCTCACTCTCTCGCACACATATTTGTGAGGTCGGGGTATTAAGGCATAGGAGGCAAAGGCGGATAATTGGAGTTGAGGACAGGCTCGAGGAGCTGAATGGCCTCCTCATGTTCCTATATTTCTATGTTTTACTCTCACATTCGCTCTCTCTCTCTCTCTCTCTCTCACACCTTGGAGGGATGTGACTAGTGGAGTGCCACAAGGATCAGTCCGTGGGCCTCAGCTATTTACCATCTACATCAACGATCGAGACGAGGACATCGAAGTTAATACGTCTAAATTCGCGGATGACACGAAACAAAACCAGGAGGAAGTGCCAACACAGAGGACGGCATTGAAAAAATGCAGCTCGACATAGATAGGTTTGGTGATTGGGCCGGTGGGTGGGACATGACGTATAATGTAGGGAAGTGCGAAGTCATCCGCCTCGGGAGCAAAAACAGTAGAGCGGGTTATTGTTTAGAAGGGGAGAGATTGGAAGGTGTTGGCGTCCAGAGGACTCGGGGTGTCCTTGTACACCAGTCACAGAAAGTTAGTCTGCAGGTACAGCAGCGGTTAGGAAGGCGAACGGTATGTTAGCGTTCATTCTGAAAAGGATTAGAGTATAAGAGTAGGGAAGTCTTACTTCAACTCTAAAGGGCCCTGTGAGACCACACCTGGAATACTGTGTGCAGTTGTGGTCTCGTTATGTAAGGAAGGACGTACTTGCCTTGGAGGGGGCGCAGCGTAGATTTACTCGGTTAGTACCAGGGATGGAGGGGATGAGTTACGAGGAGAGGCTGAACAATTTGGGCCGATATTCTCTGGAATATAGAAGAATTAGAGGGGATCTTATAGAAACCTATAAGATCATCAAAGGGCATAGAGTAGATAGTGGGAGATTGTGTCACCGGTTGGAGACACTAAAACCGGGGGTCACAACCTTAAAATCAGAGGCCAACCCTTTCGCACTGAGTTGCGGAAGAGAACTTCTTCACTCACTA